TGGACTTATTCAGATCTTGAGGAGTATGCAAAGAAATATTTATTGTATTGATTTTTTATTTATTATTTTTTATTTATTATTTTTTATTTATCGTTTTATTTGTTTTTATTTAATAAATACAAATTTTATATATTTTTATAAATATATTGCAAGTTTGACCAACTAAATAATAAAAATCAATTTATAAAAATATTGATTTTGAGAATAATCTTGTAAATGATTTAGTTATGAAAAATGAGACTAAAAAAAGTAAAAAAATTGATGAAGTGATAAAGTATTACTATAAATGGTGTAATTATCATGGTGATTGTTTCGGTACTATTGATACAATGTTCTATAAAATGTAAAATGAATTAAAATATATTAATAATTAATTATAATTATTAAATTTATATAAATATTTATTTTATTTGATAAATTTTAAAATAATCATTAAAATGAGTCAGGAAGAATTTATCTATCTGACTGATTGGTATAATGGAAAGAAGTACAAAGGAAAAATTAAAAATCAAATTCGGGTCGTAAAAGATAAAAATGAAAAAATCTATCTCCAAGTACAACTCACTCAAAACAAAATCATGATTACAGATTTAAAATATTATCAATTAATTAAAAATTATTTTTGGCATGCTGATAAAAAAAGAAATTTATATTATGCAAAAACAGTTTTTAAAAATACAACAAAAAAATTTCATCAGATGATTCATCCTGATTGGAAAATGACAGACCATATTAATAGAAATGGATTAGATAATCGTGAACAAAATTTACGAAAAACTACTTATTCTCAAAATGCTTTAAATACAAAATTATTCAAAACTAATAAATCAGGATATAACGGAATTCATTTTGATAAATTTAATAATTCATGGAAGTTTAAATGGTATGAAAATAATAAATGTAAATATAAAACATTTTATATTAATAAAAAGCGTTCTTATGAACAAGCAAGACAACTTGCTATAGAATTTAAATTAGAGCATAATAAAATTACAGGAAATCGTAATGGTTATTCTTATGAAGATTAAATTTGTAATAATATAAAATATAATATTAATAAATATTTATTAATTTAAAATTTTGCTTTTTCTGATTGTCTTAACGCGATCGCAATATATTTAACGTGTTGACCTTGAGCTATTAGTTTTCTGGTATCTTTGTTGTATATTTTTATATCAGCAAATCCCATAGCCTTGCCAAATTTTATACATTCTGCTTCTATGAATAAAACATCACCTTCTTTTGCAGGATTTGTAAACGAAATATTGATATTTGTACTAACACCAGAAGAACGATTCAATCCTTTCGAAGCTATCACGAGAGATCCACATACATCGACTAATGTCATGAGTATTCCACCATGTGCTGTTTTCAGATGACTTAAATGATTCGATTGGATAGTTATTTCGCTTTTTACCATACCGTTAGATGCGTTTATTATTTTCATCTGTATAAAATTAATTAATAATTATTTTGATAATAAAATATAATATTTGAAGAAAATACAAACATTTTTTAATAAAGGACCATCAAATCCATCAAGCATTTGATGAAAATAATTTTCGATCCACTGGGTCATATTCATTGTTGTCATGATTTATTAATTTTGTTTTTATATAAAAGTAACAGGATTTTGGATTCGAAATACTGAAATAATAAAGAATGGCCGGATTAATAAGCTTTAAAGATGTTTTTGAAATCGATAAAGAAAAATTATCTTTTATCACTGAGGATGATATGAGATTTGCTGCTTGGCATTATATAACTTTATTTTATAATGACGAACCTTGTTCTTTAGATGATTTTAAATTATACGATGACGACAATAATTATGAATATCCCAGAATTAAAAATAATAATGGAACAGAATCTTTTCTATTTATAACAAACTCGAATCTTTATTTTAAAAATGATTTAATATCCCAACTTTTTTACAATGAATACAAATTAACTAATTTTCGTAAAGATGGAAAAATATGTATTTATTTAACTTTGAATGATCAAATTCTAAATTTAAGTGATTTCAAATGTAAATTTATTAAAGAAGAAGCTTACACGATTAATATTGATAAAAATGTGTTGTTTAATGATAACGAGGTTGAAGAAATCGAAGTAGAAAATGATGGTATTAGAGATTATTACAAGTTAAAAGATGATGTTGGTCACTATTTTATT